CCAGCTTTATAAACATGGAATGGTTTCCCCCTGATCGGTGATGTAAATGGATGATTAATCTGGACTAGGTGAATGGGGAGAGAAGGGAACACGCATACCCACTGTGCTAGACTTACATGGGCACATTTCAAATCAGACTCATAGATACTTATGCCTACCCATCAGAACAGATATTTACAGCAGAGAAAGTTCTGGGTTGGACTGTCCGTCTTGAGCCATTTGGAAACCAAACTGGCTAGAGCAGATTGCAAGATTTAGGCTGTGGGAGAATGACTCTGGTTCCTTTTCAGCCTAAAGCAATTACCCAGCTGTTGGGAAGTTGAAATATTGGACCAAATTATATTACCTAAGTTAAAATAAGCACTCCTGAGAATAGATCACTACATATACTAAGGTACATGTATTATGCAAGAGTTGACATTCCCATTTCTATATCTCATGAACCAGCCTTGGAATCTTCCCTGAAAATAAATTCGATGTTAGTATCTTTTTGGCTATTTGTTTTTGTTGGTTAATATATACACTACTAGCACATTTCCAAAGTTATTACCCTCTAAGATCAGCACTTCCAGAAATCTTCTTGACAAAGCCATCAATAGAAACAACTGAACACTTAAAAAACAATAGGTGTTTTGTAGGTAACAACTATGGAGTTTGACCAAAAGCTGACACTATGCTTTTTAAAAAGTCAGTGACTCACACATGGTGTTATTTGATCCATTTAGCACCCCTTAAAGTACACAGAGCACATTGACAAAATAGAATCAGCAACAAATCACTTGTCCAAAGCCAAACAATTAGAAGGGGGAGAACCAGGACTTGCTCTCCATGGTTTTGTTTTGTTTTTTTAATTCTTATTTATTGATTTTTAAGTAGGCTCTCTGCCCAATGTGGGGCTTGAACTCACAACCCTGAGATCAAGGGTCACATGCTCTACTGACTGAGCCTTCCAGGCACCCTTCTCCATGTTTTTTTTTTTTTTTTTAAAGATTATTTATTTATTTATTTGAGAGAGAGAGAATGAGATGAGAACACATGAGAGGGGATAGGGTCAGAGGGCAAAGCAGACTCCCTGCCGAGCAGGGAGCCCGATGCGGGACTCGATCCAGGGACTCCAGGATCATGACCTGAGCCGAAGGCAGTCGCTTAACCAACTGAGCCACCCAGGCGCCCCCTTCTCCATGTTTTTATATTCCAATTCCAGAGCCCTCTTTGGGGATGCAGAAATTAGATATAAGCATAAGGAAAATCACAAGAGACAATTAGAATCACAACCAATTAATCTAATCAATAGAATTTAAACTATCACTTAAGACATAACCTACAATACTGAAAATATTTATTGCATTGTATAACACATTCATGTTTCACTGTTACCCTCTGGGCATTGGGCTGATGAAAAGATTTTTCACCCTAATTCATCAGTAAATATTTACTGACCACTATTGTGTATGGGAAGCTTGAGTTGGATCTTTTCTCTTTCTTTTTACTAAAATTAACTTGTAGCATTGAGTGAGTGTCCAGTCATTCCAGCAAGTTAACATTGAATTTTCCTCTCTACCTTTCCATTTTTCCTGGATAAAGAAAAGAAAACCTAAAAATGTGGTAAGGCAATTCTCAGTCTGTTCTTCATGTCTCTGCTAAGAAGTTCCATTCTCTCATTTATAAAATAGGTATCACTTATTGACCATCTACTATATGCTACATATTCTACATCCATTATTGGCAATCTTCACATCTCTGTGGCTTACGGGGTATAGTTACCCTCATTTTTACGGATGTGGTCAGTATAGCATAGCAGTGAAACTTGGATCAAGAGCAGGTCCTTTAACCAAAAGCTACCAGAGTTTGAATCTGGCTCCATACAAACTAGTTTTCGGAACTTGGACCACTTATGTCGTTTCTCTGTTCTCCTTTATGCCCATCTCTAAAATGGGATAAATTACATGAACTTATCGGAGTTATATGAACTCACAATTAGAGTTATTATAGAGTTAATGAATTGACATCTGTAAACAGCTTATAGTACCTGGGCTTCTAGTGGTACTCAATGAACCTTAGCTACCATTATTAATTTGGTGTGCCCCAAGGCTGAATCTGAGGGACTCTTTTCTTCTTCATATATCTGTTACTCCCTGGATGACCTCATTCAATCCTATGGTTTTAAATATAAAACTATACTGATGACTCCAGAATTCATATCTCCTGCCAAACCGGTACTTTTCAAGTGTAAGTCAGCTCATGTCACTTCTCCACTCAGAACCCTCCAGCGACTTCCTATCTCTCTCTGAAAAAGTCAAAGCCCTAGCCAGGGCCTATGAGGCCCTATGTGTCTGTCCTACTTTTCTAATCTGTCTCCTACCAATTTTCCCTTTCTTTCTTTTCTCCAGCAATACACGTGTCCTTTTGAACATTCCCTAACACTCTTGCTCCTCACACTCTTTGCACCTGCTGTTCTGCGTGTATATTCTTCCCCAGTCAAGCAACATATGCCTTCACTTGCTTCAGGTCCCCTGCTCAAATACCATCTTAACTGAGATGCCATCCCTAATCACCTTATATAAAGGAGGATTTCCCTTTCCTTTTCTTCTTACCCTGCTTTATTTTTCATTGTGGTATCTATTGCCATTGTGTTTATTCATTTTTCTATGGTCTGTTTTCCCCTCTAGCATTCGAACTCCATTAAAGTAGGGACTTTGTTTTATTCACAATCCCTAAAGCAAGTGCTCGGCACATGGCAGACACTCCATAAATATTTATTGGTTAAGTATAATTATGCTGATTGCCCAGCTAGTGTCAAGAGTTTCAGACCCAAGTCAGCTTCCCTTCAATATCTCTTGCTCTTTCTTCCTCACTAACCTGCATCCCATGCCAGGGAAGACATAAACCCCATTAAAGTATACATCAATTCATAGGACTTTTGTATCTGAACTAGAAATCTTGTGCACATTAGGGTTGATTTGCTATTCAGCATAATTTAGCAAATATTTACTGCACAAATATTTATGTGATCTTGGATAAGAAACAACAGCCAACCCACTAATATAGGGTAGCAATTTATTCAAGAATCTCAAAGCCTGGGAGAGGTAAATATTTGTACTTGTGGATCTCTAAGTTCAGAATTATTATGTACACCTAAAATTAATACAACGTTATATGTCAATTATACCTCAACTTTTTTAAAGGCCATTAAAAAATAAGAATTAATAGGTATCACAATAGAACACTTGGTTATCCCTCAAACTTTCTTTCCCCATTTTCTCAATCTCAGTCCACTCCTTTGTTTAAGCCAAATTTCTAGACATTTTCTTAGATTTCTCTTTACCTCACCCTACACATCCAATCCTTGTGCAAAGACCATAAATTCTATCTACCAAACTTGTCCCAAGAACATCTGCTTCTCATCAACTTCACCTTTATAAACCCTAGTCCAAGGACAACTCCACTTAGCCTAGGCTACCAGCAAAATTTCCTAAATGCTTGGGGCGCCTGGGTGTCTGTTGGCTAAGTGTCTGCCTTTAGCTCAGATCATGGTCCCGGATCCCTGGGATGGAGTCCTGCATCCAGCTCAGCGTGTGGACACTGCTTCTCCCTCCGCCTCTCCCCTCTGCTTGTTCACTCTCTCAAATAAATAAATAAAATTTTTAAAAAATTCCCTAAATGCTTGCCTTGCCCTCCCACTTTTTGCCTACCAACTGGAGTGATCTTATAAAAATGCAAGTTACTCATCACTCCCCTGCCTAAAGCTTCAGTGGTTTCCTTTTGTTATTCCTCTCTAAATTATTCCACTTAGAAAAAATCCCAACCCTATCCTAGCCTCCAAGCCCCACTCCATTCTGTCCTGAAGGACAGTCCAATCTTGTCTCCTAGCGTTTTCCCCTTATTCGTGCATTCTAGTCATGCTGGTCTTCTTTCACGTCTATGAGCACAATAAACTCTTCCCTGTCCCAAAATATGTGTACCAGCAGTTCCTTGTCATTTAGGTTGCAGTTTGAATTTCATCTCCCTGGAGAGGCCTTCCCTGACTACTGGATTTAAAGTGGCCCCCCCTCCCCCATTCACCTTTTGTTCTGCCAGAGAGTGAATGGCATTCACTGGTGGGGCACTGCACAGTCGCCGTCTAATATTTTCCTCCTCTGTTTGTCACCTCCCTCCTCCAGTAGAATGTAAACTTGAAGAAGAGGAGGACTTTGCTTTATCAGCAGGGTTTATAACGGGGCCTCACACCTAGTGAGCACTCAAGAAACACTTGTTGAATGGGTAAATCTTTGTCTCAACTTTGACAGCTTATGTAGGATCACAGTAGTTTCCTAGTACAGCTTTAGTAACTCTGCCCCATACGTGTTCTCTGCATTGCTTCAACCCATAAAAAGGTCCATTATTCCAGAGGAGGGATTCAGAAATAGGGATTCCCCCTATTTCTTGGCAACCACTCGGTGAAGATCTGGACTCAGTTCAGCAGTTCAAAATCATCAGATTAGGGGGAAAAGAAAGACGGAAATTAGTATTCCTGACATAAACCATTGTCATTTCTCACTTAAAACTTTTAGGAAGAAAAAAAAAAAAAACCCAGTTCTTAAGATCAAACACTTTTGGAGTTGAAAATGTTAGAGAAAGTATATGTGGACAGAAAAATGTTAGCGTGTGGGAGGAAAAGTCAGAAGGAGGTAAAAGAAGGAGCTCACACCGTGCTGTGAGTATCATGGTTCTGGGCTTGGGTACCATGGTTTGCCTTGTACATAAACACTAAGGAAGAGCGTGATGGAGTGAGGTGGGTGGCGGCGAGGAAAGGCAGGAGTGGGAGACCAGGACGAGAGACGTGAAAAAGGCTAAAAAGAAAAGAGAAGGACGAAGCAGAGCCATACAAAAGCAGCCTCGGATCTTGCCGGAGCTGCAAGCGTTAAGGGGAGGCGGGGAGTGACGCGGTTTGCGTCTGGAGCGGCTCCTTGGAGTCCACAGCATCCACCGCCGGAGCCTCGCCTTCCTTTCTCCCTCTGCAGACATATCGAGACACAAAAAAAGAGGCGACCCCTGGACCAGCGCGAGGGACCCACCCTCACGATGACCGAGACCACCAAGACCCACGTAATCTTGCTTGCCTGCGGCAGCTTCAATCCCATCACCAAAGGGCACATTCAGATGTTCGGTGAGTCCCCCCGCCCATCCCCGGAGGCAGCTTCCGCCTCTCTCCTTCCCCGGCACCTGTATTTTCCAGGGCGACTGAACAGTAAGGCGTGTGCCCCTCTGGAGGGATGCGCCGGCTCATCCCCCTGGTGGGAGGTCAGCCCCTCTGTTCCGGGGCTGCGCTTCCTAGGCGTCTCTTGCTCCGGCCAGACCCGGCTCACTGGGGTCCAAGGGGTGGGGGAGGGGAGGGGCCGGAGGTGACTGTGGGTTTGGGCCGGGTGGGAGGTCGAGGTTCCAGAACTGGGGTATGGTGGTGTGGTAGTTTGGCCACTTGGCTGCGGAGGATCGGGGTGGGGTTAGAGGTTGGGTCGCGGAGAAGGGAAAGAGGGGGTTGGAGATAACGTGCTGTTTGTTTAGGATGGGTGGAAAGCTCGGAGTTAAATGATGTATATGCCTTGGAGACACAAACACACTCACACACACAACACACCATTAGCAGGGCTGGGGCTTGAAGAGATTAATTTAGGGTTTGGCTAATGGTTCAGGGCGGCCCAGGGGCGAATGTTTGAGGGTTGTGGACCGCGTATTGCCCTCGCGAGGTGGATGGCTGAGTGAAGCGGGTGAGGGGCTGGCCAGCCTGGGCTTGGCTGCCGGGACCCGCTGCCCAGGAAGGGGAGGGGGCGGGGTGGCCGCTGCGGGCAGCCCTTTTCAAGCCGATGTTGATGGATCCGGGCCCAAGTTGGCTGAGGCTCTGCCGAGGGCGGCAATGACACCCGGAAGGCTTGCGGCGTGCGAGTGTGTGTATGAGTGTGAATGTATGTGTGTGCGCGCGCGGGCGCGCGCGCGAGTTGGGGCGGGGGGGCGCGCATCATTGCGCGTTTGTTTCTTGGAGGCTTTGGGGCGTGGAGAGAAAGGGAGTGAGCGGTGGCTCCCAGCTGCTGGTTTGGGATTCAGCAGGGTCAGGGGACATTTGATCGATGCCTGTCGGAGATCTCGGGCCACCGGTGGACGCGGCTTCCCTGCTGCTCCGGTAGGATCCAACGGCACGGGGGCGTGCGCGTTTAGACCCTGAGGGAGGGACGCGGAGGTCACTTTAGAAGCAGGCATAGAGCAGAGGTTAGAAGTTGGGGGTGTTTTTTTTCTGGCACTGCAGGAAATGAGAAGAGGAGAGAGTGGGCTGGAGATGGATGAGAGACGGGTGGGAGGCCCTGCGCGGGCCTGCCAGCAAGGCGCTATCCAGAGGCGGCGGTGCTGAAGCGCAGGGCGCGCCGGAGCTGGCTTTGGACACACGTGTTTACCCCGAGCCGGAGGATTGCGTGAGCCCTCCTAGGGCTGTTTCATGAAAACCACATCATATCGGTAAAGACTGGGCGAGGTGGCTTTGACTAAAAATACTCTTCTCTTAAACCTAGAAGGTGCGTTGAACTGGGCCCGCTTATTAAAAACCTCATGAAAAGAATACAGAACTACTTTGAGCTGAGGGCAGATTCAGGTAGGCACATTTATAGGATACAAGGAGGGAGATTGAGAGGTAGCCATCCCTTCCTCACCATGCCTTCAGCTTTTAAAAGTGTCTTATTAGGAGCTAATGCTAACCTACTTACTAAATAAAGACTTTAGTTTTAAGCATCAGAGTAGACCAGAGTACCTCATCATTTATCTAAGGGAATATCAGTGCCCTAGGAACACTCTACTTTCACTGATGCCTTTACCCGGGTCCTGCTTTTCTTCTCTGTCCATATTTCCTCTAGCCATTTTGTGTCACTTGTACTTTATTCCTCTCCATTGCCAGGGCAAGATTGGGCTTTCCTCTGGAACTGCTTGGCTCTAGAAATCTTTAGTGAGCTAGCCGGTACTCCTTTTTTCCTGGGGCTGTATTAGTCACTTCCACTTGTTTTGGATTGCAAGAGGGGTAGATTTAAATCAAGAATTGAGGATTCTGTTTTGCAGCTGAAAACAGTTTGCTAACAGTGATAAAGGCTTTTGTTAAGTCGATGCTGACCTGCCAATTCTCCATGAGTTTAGAGGATAGAATATGTAGAAATAGGTATGGATTACAGCAAGCAGGTTTAGACATGGAAGAGGTGAAAGTAGACTTTCTGACAGTAGTGACTATTTTTTTGGTATTGGAACTGAGGAATAAGAGAGAATATCTGTCAACAAAGCCTTATGAGCGTCCATTAGTTATGTGTAATCCGAAGAGCAACATGGAAAGAGGATATGGTATGCTCACTGTAGCCTTAAGGAGCTTATAACCTAATGAAGGATTTAGCACATATACATATGAAAAGGAAACAAGAACACAAAATACATATTAAACTATTCTTTGTAGAATCTCTTATGGGCATCTTTGAGCTCATGATAATTTTGTGATTTACTTCTGTAGTTTCTGGTTTACAGAGCCTTTTCATCTTACTTATTCCTAATAGCAAGCTTACCAGAAAGTCATCATTATCTCCATTTTACAAATAAGAAACTGATGTTCAGAGGTGAAGTGACTTTAAGAGCCTTAGGTGACATGAAGAGTGGGTGGCAGAGTTAAGACTTGAAGCCCACATTCCTGATTCCTCTTTCAGAGGACTTTGCCCTGTACTACGTTCAGAAACAAGTGCTCACTGATCTGACTGCATAATTCCATAAACTCTATTTCCTTCAAACATAGACTAACAGAGATTTGAATTAAATTGGTCATCAACTGGGGCACCTGGGTGGCTCAGTCGGTTAAGCGACTGCCTTCAGCTCAGGTCATGATCCTGGAGTCCCGGATCGAGTCCTGCCTCGGGCTCCCTGCTCAGTGGGGAGCCTGCTTCTCCCTCTGACCCTCCCCCTCTCATGCTCTCTCTCTATCTCATTCTCTCTCTCAAATAAATAAAATCTTTAAAAAAAAAAAAGAAAAAATAAATTGGTCATCAACTAAATGAGATTCCTAAATATGCATTTTAAGAGCTTTTTTCTGTCTCTAACGAAAGCAGTTATCCACAAACTATTTTCTCCTTTTAAATAGCTTTTTAAATCTTCTCCACAACAGTACAGAAATAATCAATTCAATAAAGTTATCAAACTTTCTTCAAGGTGCCTGAAATTTGTAATTGAATTTCTTTTTTAAATACCTGAACAGGACTTTGAAATTAGACATCTTTAACAAAGTTACTGTATTTTGAAATCCAATTGCTTGACAAAGAAAAAAGAGAAAAACTATAAGGAAAAAGAAATGTGTCATTCAAAACTAAAAACTCATTCTTCATCTCTGAAAAGTAGTACTTGTACAGTTCTCAATATTTGTAAAATATTTTAGAATGAGCTTTTCCTTTTACTTTGAAGAAAGGGAAGTTGATATTATTCCTAACTGTGGCTATAGAAACACATAGAAAAATTTAATGTTTGTGATGGAGAATTTGACACTTATATACTTAACTATAGCTAAAATATTTTCAGGGATGAGTAAATTTTTGGCAAAATAAACTCATAAACTAACAGTGTTTTATTTCGTGGTCTGCTTTATTACATAAGAGACTAACATGACACTAGAAGGTTTTTTTTTTACACATTAAATCTTAGTTATTGAGTATGTAGAGATTATATTTCAGTATAACTTTCTTCGCGTTTATATTGCTGTGTTTGTCAATAAATTCACCCCTCAGAAATAAGATAGTAAGTTTAAATAGAAAAGTAAAAAAGGACTGATCAGATAAGTTTTGCCATAAAAAATAAAGGAATTGAAGGACTTGATCACAGCAGAAATGTATTCTGTTTTTTGATGATTGCAAAATAACTGGATTTTCCAGTTTTTCTACTTCAAAATATTTTTACTTTGAACAAGTGGGTCTTTTGAAAAGAGACATGATCCAATTCTGTCCCGCTTCAAGGGTAATGAAGAGGGCTTTTTATTTATTGTGGAATTGGAAACGTAGCCCCTATTGCTACAACTAGAAATCATAAGAAAAATGAATTTGAGTTTCTATTGATATAGAGAACTGTCAGAAATCAAGAAAGTGTTTAATTTGCTTGAAATGCCTGTTAAAAAAAACCATTAAACACAAAGTGATATTTTATACTTTTGGCACCATTATCTTATTTGATCCTACCCTGCAAGTTAAACTGGATAATATTATCATCTCCTTTTTACAAAGGACAAAGCAGAGGTACAGGTGTAAGTCATTTGGTCAAAGTCATATGCAAAAGTCAAGATAAAACTAGTTTTCTGATATCTAGACTTTCTCTCTCATTCAGGATACCTCTTTATTCCTTTAATTGCAACAACACCTATGAAAGGAGGAGTCACCTGAACTTAGTTGTTAACAAAGGGTGATGAGAACTTTTGTCCTTGGTAACACAGGCCACCAACAAAATATATTCAACAAAGGTATCTATTCCCAACATCTTATACTATAACAAGGAAAAGCTATTTTTTTCTTAGTACTCATATATTTTCCATATAATTGTGTTGCTAGAACATTTTTTTCCACCACTCCCATACCTCCTCCTTCCTCCCCACTCTTCTGTTACCACAGCTAACACCTACTTATACATCAGATTTTAGCTTCAATGGTACTTCCTCAGGGAGCCTCCACTGACTTCTAAATTAAGTATGGTTACCCTGACATTTGATCCCACATCACCTTATACTTTCCATGCCATAACTCTCATCTCATTATGTGCTTAATGACTATTTTCCATGCTAGACCTTAAGCTCTTTTAGAACAGAAACCATGCCTGGTTTCATTATTGATTTATTTCCTAGTACCTAGCATGGAGTAAGCTTTCCGTAATAGTATAATATAAATCATAGTTGCAAGTAGCAAGTCTTTGCTCCATCATAGTTGTTGAGTAAATAAAAAATAAATGAGTCTATAGAATCTTGTTCCAGGTAGAGGAATCAACCATGCACAAGGGCTGGGGTGGTGAGGCAGAGAGACATGATATATTAGAACAAAGGATGGTTCAAGGAGAAGGGGAGTAAGAGATAATACTGGAAAGGTAGATAGAAGTCTGATTGATTACGAAGGCTTGTAAGTCATGTTA